TAAGACTGAAAAAGCACCATAAACAAATCATAAAGGTATCATCTGAGATGCAACAATTGATTGACCACTAAATGGTTTCAGCCAGTGTACTTTTCATCAGACATCACACATGGACTATAAATATCGTTATGATATTTTATGGTACTTTTGCATCCTTTTAGAAGCATGAAATCCCAATTTATTATAACTGCTTGGAAAAGAGCAACACTTTCTTCTTTAGATTTCCACAGAAGAAAGTAAGTTATATAGAATGACATGAGAATGAGTGAGATTTGGTGCACAAATCTTTTAACTAACCTAAACAGCAATATTTCCTTTGGTTGCTAAAAGTACCAAGCAGGCCAAACAGTTTCACTAGCTAATTTACCAGCACTAACCAGTCTGGATCAACAAGGAAAATTAGCAGGGAAAGGAAAAAAAGAGATGATGGTTGGTTGGTTGAATCACAGCTGATTCCGTTTCTCTGTTTGGTCCTCATAGTAAACAACCGTGCTTTAAAGCGGCCCATGTGATGGACAGCAGATGTCATGTAGAACTGCCTAATGGGATGTTACTCATTGCAAACAAATGGTAGGAAAAGCCTGATTTCCAGAGCTTAGTCTGCAAGTTTGAAAAATCTTATATTCTCATGCAGGCCTCCCAGCAAGCTGATATTGAAGTCAGCAAGGAGAGGAACCTCAAGGGGAACATTAGGGGTACAAAACATAACATGAAACCCCCAAGACAGAACAAGAGTCACACAGAACTACATCCCAGGATAATTGAAAAGCCAAGAATTCCAGAAGTCCCTCAAACAACCTTACTGCAAACTCAACAACAACAGTTCTGTTTTCAAACCTAGCTGCATATGTAGGCAGTGATGTTACTGTTAACAAAAACTAAAACTATTAAAAATTGTTCTCTGTAATTTTAATAAAGCTAAAATAAAATATGAAATTACTATAAAAACACAAAATTACTAAAACTTCAAATAAACATTTACACTAAAATTAAAATGAAATCTGAAAAAAGGCTAATTCAAAATATAAATCAATTCTATAATAATATACAAATAATACTAAAATAACATTGGTAGTTAAGGCATTATATATCTGTGTCAGGCTTCTGACACAGAGACTGTAGCAAAGAGTTTTAAGACAACTTCTGGCCAAATTCTAAAGGCATCACCGTATGTTGAAGGCAATCCCATAATGCACTGCAACAAGCTCAGGGAAAATTCCACTCAAGATACTGAACAAAGCATTATAAACATCTTTATAATTCATTCAATAACAAAAATTATCTCTAAAAGTAATGTACCGAATTTGTGCATGCTATGTATTTTTACGCTTATATAAGTACCATTAGCTTAGCAACATGTTAGCACCAAACTTTACTGAAATCAGTTGAGCTTTGTATGAGAATCGCTATTTTTATGATGCATGTTGTTTTTGTTTATGCAGAGCGTTCCAAATCAGTCACTTACGAGGTCCCATATCAGTTAATACCTTGAGTACTATGTACACAGGCAGCTCACTAGGTTTTAAAACAGAACTAGTGACTTTATCCGTAAGAACATTGCACTTTAAGTCCAGTTTGAGACCGCTAAACTGACGTGTCTGACAAAAGCAAAAGAACCTGTTGCACATCTGCTTCCGTTTTACATGCAAAAAAAGCGATTAGCAACCTGCTTGAAATAACGGAGAATGCAATGATCCAAAGCTTAATGTTTTGCCTCTAATGACCGTGTAACCACATTAAACGGGGGCATTTAGCGAAGGGTATTTTGCTTCCATTCCTTTGAAATGCACTGTGGCTGATAACAGAGCAAAAGCAGATAAGGTTGGAAGTACCCCTGGGAATCAAAGTTACGCTTTAGATGCACTATTCGCTCTCAAGTTTGTTCAAAATTATCTCAGTTAGTTTTGTTTATGTATTGGCTTAGTCTCAGATGTTTCTCCTATAATTCTTTAAGACAAATAAAGCTAAATGGGACAACTTTCTAAAAATTTTAAATGATTTAAAATTCACAGGAATAGTTCAAATAATTTGGACTTGGATGAAATTGGTTGAGTCCACACAGTTATTTAACTTTTGATTGGTGTATTAACAAATCTGAACACATTTGTTGACACTGATCTCTTTTGAAACTCAAGAAGAGACACATGTGAGGTATTTTTCTCAGGAGAAACATCTAAGATTACTTAATTGCAATACAACCAAAAGCAGCACCGAAGTTACGACTACAGAAAACAAACTTTCAGCTTCAAAACAGAGTTCCCTGACAAACTCAATCACAAAAGATGAACATTTAACTGGAGTGACCAGGAAGCTGCAACTGAATCCCTCTTACCTGAAGATAGGTCTATGGAGAAGCTTCCTTTTGATGGTCACATACTCATCCATACTCATCCATTTAAGAGCACGAGTTCAGAGACTGTGTGGGCTGTGGTTTCATTCAGACTGTCCCCAGCTGCTCCTCACATTGCCGTGTGCTCTGCCCAATCCAGCCTCCCTCTCCTCTTTCTCTCTCACTGACGGCCCAGTGCAAAAGGCCATGGAGGCCACATCACAAATTAACACTGGCGCACAGGGTCTGGTCAAAAAAAGGGGCTGGACCCTTGTCAGGAAACAGTAATTATATCACAATCTGGCTTGCGTTTAGTGTGATGTGTGGACAAAGTTATGCGATGCAGAGTGGGTCCTTCGTTGTGTCATGAGGAATCTGATTTTCCTTCATTTTTTGGTGTACTTTGCAAACATACTGTAACTTTTAAACTCGGAATAACTTCTCCAGATGCTAAAACAGCTTCTACAACTTTCTGATGTCACATTTGAACACATAAAACATACATTTACACCTCAACAATGCCTATTTGGTATAGAGAAACGTTATCTGCATGTGGAAAGACAAACTGATTTGAAGCTTGTTTCATCATGCCAAGTTGGGACACAGTCAAAGGATCAGGGAGAGAGTGGAAAATTGTCATGGAAAACTAAATACTGACTGTTTTTGGCACTACAAAAATGTTGCTAAAATTATAAGTGGACCTCAGGGAGAACATAAAATGATAAGAAGAGGAGAAAAGAAGAAAGATAAGACCTGTTCAGGGGAGTCTCTCGTGCTTTAATCAAAAGGAACTTAGCTCTTTAGCCGAAGCAGTGATGATTCAGGAACAGTTGCAAACACTAAAATGATCTTCAAGAGAGAGGAGATGTCAATCTCAGAGACTAACGGCATGGACACAGATGGAGACACATCAAAAAGAGAGAGAGAGAGAGAGAGAGAGAAAGAAACATATCTGGCAACTATGTTTGCTGGATCATTAAAACCATCTTTAAAAAGAACACATAAATGTTTCCAGGTTCACAGTCTGTCAACTGTTCGAAATATGCAAGGCACAACTTTATGAAAAATACCTTTTATTGTAAAATGTAGCTACTAACAAGTACTGATCTATATTACACTCTTAGAAATAAAGGTTCATTATTGGCATTGATGGTTACATGAAGAACCTTTAACATGTATAGAACCAAACTGTTCTTCATAGAGAGAAAAGATTATTTAGATTATTGAAATGTTAAGTAAAAAAAAACTTTTGAAGAACTGAAAGGTTCTTCGGGGAACCCAAATGGTTCTTCTATGGCATCAATGCAACAAAAAAAAACAACAACAACAAAAAAAAATGGAATACCATTATTATTGTCCAGAGAGAAAAAAAGAAAAAAAAGAAACCTGTTTTAAAAGCCCATGCATGCTATTCAGTTTTCTGATATGTTTTGACATATTTCCTATTGACACTGAAAATTACGGATGGGACATTTTCGATGGGCTTGTGTCTTATATTTAAAGAGCCAATAGGCTTTAGTTATTTCACGTTATGTCTCAAATGCGAAAACAAAAAAAGTCCAGTTTTGATTTTGTAGGGTCTTGAAAGTTTTGGGTAAAACAGTCTATTTCCTCTTTTGGTCAGAAAGGTAGACCCCATGTGCAGTTCTGGGGGAAAAAAACGGTTTACAACATATAAACCAAAATCCCTATGGAAAGCCCTATGGTAAGTACAGCATTGCAAACCCATCAAGAGTGCATCGTGGGTAAAATAAATATTTTATATTTAAATAATAAATAATAAATATTCAGACATACTGTAACATGATTTGTTAATACATGACAAATTCAACGACACACTCAGTCAACCAAAAAATACAAAAACGGCTTATAAAACCAGACATTTCACACAAACATGGGGCACTGGAGAGAAAGACTGACATAAGGCAATGGACACAATAAAGCCAAAAATATGCAGAAACTGATGTGTCAAAGAGAAATATGAGTCGAAATACAATTATATACTGTCAAATCACCACAATTAAAATGAAGAAGTATTATATTGTCAGCTTACGCTAATACAATATGTATCACTGGGCTAAAAGTGGTAAAACGTCATAGAGATTATTAATGTAAAGTGCACTCAATTGTAGGAAATTACGCATTATTTTGGGAAACGCAGCCTTTGTTTGAAAAAAAAAAAAGAAATATCCGTTTTTGTTTTTTTGGGGGGGGGGGGGGGGGGGGGGGGTAGTCTGAATAATGTTTGAGTTACTCTTAACTGGCCCATCGAATAAAAATACAAATAATCCAAACTGTTTACTCATCTATTATGAGGCTCAAAAAGACAGAATACAGCATACAACTTATGTAGTCATTGTTTGCATATCTGATGCCATTTTAATAACTGCATAATGCTCAATGATGAATGTGACCCTGGACCACAAAACCAGTCTTAAGTGTCAAATTGAGATTTATACACCGTCTGAAAGCTGAATAAATAAGCTTTCCATTAATGATTGTTTTTTTCAAAAGCCTCCATGGGAGCTGGTGACCAGGACAGAGATTTGGGCTTATTCTGGAGCATACTAGTGAGTGGACTGGTTATGAAGCTGTAGTGATAGATGAATCTTCAATAGAAGTTCGCGAATCCCAGGAAGTGTTGAAGTTCCTTGACGGTGGTTGGACTGGCCAGTTTCGGATGGCATCAACCTTGCCCTCGTCCATCTGGATACCACCGTCAACGATGACATAACTAAGGAACTGCACTAAGGACTGATGGAAGGAACATGTTTTGGCTTTGAGGAACAGATGAAACTCACAGGCGTTTTAGGACCTCCGCAACGTGGTGGCGATGTTCGGCCATGCTCCGGGAGTAGATTAGTATGTCATCAATGTAGACGAGGACGAACCTGTGCAGATACTCCCGGAGTACCTCATGCATGAAGTCCTGGAATACGGAGGGGGTGTTTACCAGTCCATACGGCATGACAAGGTATTCATAGTGCCCAGTAGAGGTCACAAAGGTGGTTTTCCACTCGTCCCCCTCACGTATCCGGAGGAGGTTGTACGCGCTGCGGAGGTCTAACTTGGTGAAGACGGTGGCTCCGCGGAGATGTTCCAAAGCAGCTGGAACGAGGGGAAGTGGGCAGCGAAACGTCACAGTGCTTTTATTTGGTGCCCGGTAGTCGAGGCAGGGCCTCAAACCTCCATCCTTCTTGGCCACGAAGAAGAAGCAGCAGGGGACGTGGAAGGGTGGATGTAACCTTGCTGTAAAGCCTCTTCGATGTACTCCTCCATGGCCTTCTGCTCAGGGAGTGACAAGGGATAAATTCTTCCATGGGGCACTGGCTCACCCGGAATCAGATCAATGGCACAGTCCCATGGCCGGTGCGGAGGTAACTGGGAGGCTTTCTTCAGACAGAATACATCACTGAAGGGGGCATAACAGGCTGGAATGTCGACTGACCGTTTATCGACCAGGCTTTCTATGGAGGTGGAGCACAGTGTGAGGGCCTCGGAGTGCAGGGGTGATGGCTGAGGAAGATGAAAGACAGGTACTGCCTGTCAGGAAAGCAGGTACTGCCCTACTTCAGGACCTCACCAGTTCTCTAGGAGATGGTAGGGTCGTGTTGCACCAACCAAGGACACCCCAAGATCACATCAGCAGTGGATTTCTCCAGAACCAGGAGATGGAGTGTTTCTTCATGCAACGGACCAACTTGCAAGAGTAGCGGGGCTGAGGAAGATGAGGGAAACAGTCAGGAAAGCAGGTACTGCCCTACTTCAGGACCTCACCAGTTCTCTAGGAGATGGTAGGGTCATGTTGCACCAACCAAGGACACCCCAAGATCACATCAGCAGTGGATTTCTCCAGAACCAGGAGATGGAGTGTTTCTTCATGCAACGGACCAACTTGCAAGAGTAGCGGACCCACGCTGTGACGTACATTCTTTCGGCTGAGTGGTTTTCTAGTTACCGATTGGACCTGGTAAGTGGTCGTGGTTGGGAGATTGAGTTGGCGGCAGAGATTTACGGAGATGAAGTTCCCGGCTGAGCCAGAGTCGAGGAGGGCATGCACTGGAAAGGAGATACCAGAGGCAGTAAGTTTTACAACAGTGGTGAGGGGCTGCATATTAACTATTGATGGCTTAATGACACTCACCATAGGTCGTGGCGGACGAATAGGGCATGCCGCTATTACATGCCCCCAGCTCCACAGTACAAACATAAGCTCTGGCTCAGCAGTCTCTGCCGCTCCCAAGGGGAGAGTTGAGTGCCGTCCACTAGCATGGGTTCGTGAACTGGTTCTGGAGGGCTGATGGTGTCTGGCCGACGAAGGAGTGGATTGTATGGTGGGAGTTGATGTTCCGCAATGCAAGATTGCATACGAGTAGCGCAGCGGATGGATAGTTGTATAAACCGTTCCAAGCCACAGGAATCATCATAGGCTGCAAGCTGAAGTTGCACCTTCGGCTCCAGTCCTTGCCAGTAGGTGGTCAGAAAGGCGCACTCATTCCAGCCGCTGGCTGCTGCGAGGGTTCTGAATTTTAGGGAGTAATCATTTATGGACCAAGACCCTTGACGGAGATGATATAACTGGTGACAGACAGAGGCATCACCTATGGGTTTAACAAATACTTCTCGGAAATGTGCAATAAAATTATCAAGGGATTTAGTTACTGTACCGGCTTGGGACCAGATGGTCTCTGCCCATTGAAGTGCTCGCCCCGTCAGCAGTGATATGATGAATGCCATCTTAGTGCTTTCTGTAGCGTAAAGATGTGGTTGCATCTCCAGTGCGAGTGAACACTGCAGCAGAAATCCGCCGAACCAGAGAAGGGCGCTGGTCTGGCCATGGGACCGGTAAGTGCTGTCGTGGAAGAGGAAGCGGCCTTGGTGACGGGCATGACAGGTGGTGTGACAATGGCGGGGGTGAGTATCTGTTTGAGGGCATCCACGATCTCCTGGAATGGGTCGGGTGCACTCATCTTGCTGAATCCTTTGTGGTCCGGTCTTCTGTTACGGAAGGAGACTCACACAGAGGATTAGAAAAATACAATATTGTTTATTTTCAACAAGGAGTGCACATGGTTCAGGCAGGTGAGTAAGAGCTGAATATAAGTCTTTAAGGAAGATGAGGGGAGTAACACCATATTTGGTCCTTCAGGAGATCGTGGAATGGAGACAGAAAACTGCACACACCTCAGCTGAAGGGTACATAGAGCTTTCACGGAGCTGATGACTGGAACGGACTAGGGAATGGGACACAGGAGAACACACTGGAGGAAACACAGGCAGTAAGTATAACAGGGAGATAAGTCTTTCAATGTATCTCACGGATAGCATAGAGAGTCCACTTCGTATGAACGAGACCGGACCCTGGAGTGAAGTGAGGCATGTGCTTTTGAAGGGTGGCTGATGATGACTGCAGATTAGTGACAGGTGCGTGTGATCAGTATTCAGGTGAAGGTGTTCGCTGTGATTGGGAGGTGGCTGAGCCTGGCCGAAAAATAATACAGATTTTATATCTCAGATAATTTGATGACAACTGTATGAGTTCACATTGAGATCTCTGATTTTTGATTGCACAAGACATCTTTGCAAATCTGAGCACAGTTTGAGATATTATTGAGATCTCTTCTGAAACTCTACACAATATTTCTCTATGTGAGATTTCTAGGGTCTTTTCTCAGGAGAATAAGCAGGAAACACTCCATTTGATCGATATGCTGTCTAGGAGACATTAAAGGGGTCATATGATGCGATTTCAAGTTTTCCTTTCTCTTTGGAGTGTTACAAACTGATTGTGCATAGATAAGATCCCTGAAGTTGCAAAGACTAAAGTCTCAAAACCAAAGAGATATTCTTTATCAAAGTTAAGACTCTGCCACGCCCCCCACCGTTTCGTGAAGCTAGGAGAGGAGGTAATTCTGACTTTGCTATGACAATCTGGCGCTTCTGAATCAGCTACTGTTTTGTTATTAGTTTAAGTATTTGCTATTGACTGTTCAAATACGGAGTTTTGAGCATTGTGTGTGTCTTTGTGTGTGTGTGTGTGTGTGTGTGTGTGAGACAGAGAGAGCGCGA